GTTTGCTCTCTATTTATGTGCTGTGGCCTGCCTTGCCAGTGCTGGTGGGGGTGGGGGTTTGGTTTTGCTCCTCTGGCAGTTCCTTGATAAGAGTATTGTTCACTGCTTGATTGTGTGCCTAGCACCAATCACCAGGCACACAATCAAGCAGCAAACATATGCTAATCAAAGAACCACCAGAGGAGCAAAACCAAACCCCACCCCCACCAGCACTGGCAAGGCAGGCCCCCATCCCATTTTAGCACTGAGGATGTTACCTAGCCGGGTAATGAAATGTTTGCAAGAAAAGAACCAAGCTAAGATGGCTCCACCTGAAATATCGTTGAAGAGTCTGAGGAAGCTTCAGCTATTCTATAAACAAGGAAAGTATGTTTTTATTATTTCATCTATGCTGTCTACCTCTTCAAATCCAAGTTCATTCAAAGGTCTGTCCATGTCTTTAGTGCATCTTGGGTAGGTTATCTTCCAAGTAATTTCCTTTCTTAGGTGGTACCTACACATCTCCTTCAACTGTGCTTATAACCTTCCATGGTCTTAGGTTTAGAGAACAGACAACAAAGGGCAGAGTTTTTTTCATTCTTCCTTCTTCAGTTTTAAAATGTCTTCTTAACAGAAGGCTTACTAGTTTTAATTCCTAATAGCCTTCAGGGCTTGTCAATTTTAATCCACAAATTCATACCTGCTCTGCTCAAGTTGGTCCAAAAATCAGATCCCATTTTCAAGCTGGGATGTTTTAGGTTTAGAAAGCAACAGGACAAGCTGATGTTTTGTTTTGATGTTTCTAGCTATTGCCTTATAAAGAAGCACGGAGCTGCTCAAACTGGAATTGTCCCAGAAACTACCCAGCCAGTGTCATTTGGTTTCCCTATGATACGCTTTCAACAAAGGACCTGCAAAACCTAAGCTCTTTGGGTTTCACATCTGTCTGTAGAAGTAAAACCCCAGTCATGATACGTGACCATGGAGTTGCTGTTCTGCTCTGTGGCATACCAAGCTCCTCTGCATTAACAGATATCCAGGTGGTAAGGAAGTAACCAACTTCTCAGATTGGTTCCAGCATCTTAGAAAAAGATCTGATGACCAGATTAGCCCATCAACATTGTCTATCTCCTAACAGAATTCAGTTGATCTAAATGTTCAGAATTCTTTGATACTACTCTATACAGACATAGAGCTACTATTTTACTCCCACGCAAACACATCAGGAAATTAAAAGATGTAAAATGCAGAGACACCCTGCAATAACAATTACTACATTTTATAGTGTTATCATAGAGTCAATATCTGCTGCTGAGAAGGAAAGCAGCCCTGTGCTGTGCAATTACCTGGACATAACACTTAAGGACAAAAGCAGACACAAGGTTGCCAAATACTACCCTATCATGTTTTCCACTTGCCTCCACCGACAGGACATTGTCAGACTTGTCTAATTATGTTAAAATATATAGCTGCTTTTCCACCAAAAAGCAAACCTCAAAGCAGCTATGGGAAAAAACAAGTCACTGAAAATGAATAAAAGTCATTGAAAAAATGTTGAATAAATAGCATCTCAGGCAGCACAAAACAAAGAACAAGAGCAGCAACAGTCAAGAGGATGGATGGAAAGCTGTCTCTGTCATCTTCCACTTTATACCATCGCCAACTGCATACATAATAGTCTACAGATTCCATTAAAACTTGATTGTACGCTACTGGGCTCTTATTCCAAAGGATAAAAGCAAGAGAGGAACAATCAGGCCACCCAGTGATTGGACAACTGCAATGAATATGGATTTAGGCTTGATTAAAGCAAGCAATCAGAGAGGTACCTACTTCAGTACAACTTATTTCCAGAAGATCAGAGTTCTTTCCTGTTTTTTGAAACAAAAAAACAAATGCATTCTTAGAATTAGTGGAAGGGGAAGATTCACAATACCCCATAGATGGTGTCCTCTCTGTTTCTGGTGCTGAGTTAATAGCTTTGGGGGCTACTTCAAACAAAACATTGTAATAAATTGTTGTAAGAACAAGCTGTGGAAGACAAAGGTGTTTGCTGAAAGCTACAGAGAAGGAAGGCTAAATTTTTTCCTCTTTCTTTGCTCTGATTTAAGAGCAACTCAGCTACACAAGATGGGAATAGGGCTGAATCTGGATCCTGCCAACACTTTAGCAGCAGAACAATGGCTTTTTAAAAGGACAGCTCCTACCTCCCCAGACTGTCTTTAAATCCCCCCCCTTTATGCTTCAGAGATATTTGGCAGTAGTCTAGTCCTGCACATGTGCCCGGTGTCCTCTCACTTAGCTTGGTTCTTGTTTATGAAGCTCCAGCAATTTTCATTCTCAGGATCCCACAACAGAGTGAAAAGCATTCCACCACCTTCTGAAACTAATAAGCAATAATTTGAGGAATATAAATGCTGGAAGGCAAAAGATGCAGCTGAGAGTCTTTGGATTCCGGTGGGATAGAAATATGAAAAAAAAAGAACAAATAAATAAAACAAATAATTCAGTCATCTCAATGTATCCTGAAAATCCACTTCTGTCATAGAATGTCAGAGTAGGACTACAATACCTGTAAACATGTACAAGGGCATTGTAACTTGATTACCATGAATTGCTCATTCAGGCAAAACAACTATTTAATCCTGCTAATAGAGATGGGTATGTTAAGCGTGATTTCCAAGATCAAGGACCCCAGAATGGATTCAGCTCTGATTAAAATACCATTTATTTGGATGAGCAGGAAATCTTTGCATTCTTAGCTGCCATATCCGTTCATTATTTCCTGTCAAGACATGACTGTAGCTGAACTGCTTTTCAAATTCTTCTCATCTATGTTAAGCAAGCATAAAAGTCGTAATATCATTTATGTGCTTAAGAGGGAGAGAGCAGGGACACCTTCACTCGGCTGTTTATGTCTCCAATTATAGGCTGCCTTATCAGCAGCTTAAAACCGGAATCTGAGATTTCCCTGAAACTTTCCTGTAACCTCTGCTTCCTCTACCTCCAATCTGACGGGGGGGAGTGGGGGAGTTGAATGCCTTCCAAATTAGAACGGGCAGTACAATGATGATACTGTGAGGATGCTCCAGATAACTGGGTGAACCAGTCCTTCTGTCAATAACACAGACAAAAAAAGGACTGTCACAAACATGAAACTTGCTCCCAATGTGACAACTCAGCCAAACAGCCAGGTCTTTCACGAATAACAACACGGCAAAGGACATGTTAAAACACACATCCATCACCACATACAATATCCTAGGCTCTCTCTGCTATTCCTACATTCAGGTGTTCCAAGCTTATTATGGCCTGCTAGGCTGTGTTCTACGTACTTGTTTGTACATAAGTAAAAAATAAACTACATCACATCCCCCAGATTTCATGAGGAGGAGAGTCGACATTCCAACAGAATATTATTCAAGTCAAAACAATGTTAAAAAGCCCTTTCTTTTTAGCACATTTTCAAGCTACATTGGAAAATGGCACCCCAAATTGTTATTTGTTAAAGGTGGCCAAACGCTGGCGTGACTAGTCCCAAATGGCCCCCTTGATTTGATCATGGTGACACAGCAAACCAGAAAGACCAGCCTGACAAGGAGATACAGGAACACCATCCTACTTTGCTAATGGTACCCAATGAGCTGCCATCATCACTTAAGAGAATTGAAAGAAATGGCACAGATAAACCAGAAGGCAGAATTAGGAATGTCTCCTTCACTTTCTACTTTTGAGATAAAAGCAAATCAGGAGAGCTTTAAAAACAACCAATCCCATTGACATTCAAGGTTTTCATAAATACTGCTTAAAAATAAGACCTTGATCATTACACAATTTGATAACAGTAACATAACCACCAAATGATCACCTTACTTTTAGGGACAGAAAGAAGCTGATGATATTTAAAAATAAAATAACTTTGCTACATAGCAAGTAACAGTTTATCATACGGTATATGCAAACAATTACTTCAGTTATAGATCGTTTGTTAGAAAATGTTATTAACCACTCAAATCTTTGGCTCAAAATAAAGCTGCTTCCTTCTATTAAAATATATTTCCCAGCACACATTTAGGTGCAGCGATATTCTAAGTGGCAGAGAGAGAGACTGGAATTCCACAAAAAGGAGCCAGGAAGAGCATGGGTCAAGCACAGTCATCTTGAGTTTGAGATCAACAGACGTGCTTGTGAGATTGCCAGGAACCCTCCCTCCTCTAAGCACCCTAGGAGGGACCAATTTAAGGGTCCAATCTCCCATACAGAGGTTTGGAACATCTGTGATAAACAGCTTAACAACAAGGTAATCTGGCCGTGGCAAAGGATGTCCTTCACATTCATACTGCATCTCATCTGCTCCAAAGTAAAGACCAAATCCAGACCAAATCTCAGCACAAATGCAGAGCCTGTGTGTACTGGGACCATGATTATTAGCAACAACCTCATGCATACCATGGAGGCCATGAATCCATAAGGTATGCTGAATCTCCCCTGGGACATGGAAGGTGAAATCATCCAAGACCAAAAGCCTCAAGAATGTCAATATCGTTCTTCAGATTATATCTAGGAGCTTGTAAAGGGCTATTCCCAGGCAGTAGGAAGATGGTCCATCATCAGCACCCCCAGCTTGTCCTCACAGCTAAATTCCACATAAAGGCACACGCAACCAGTAGCCCTTGGAGTAGTGTTCCTTGCAAGTACTAGAGTCTCACAAATCACTGTGGCTACACCATCTCTGTGAACTTGGAACACAGTTTGATGATATCAGAGGATAAATTTAGCATCTGTTATTTCTTCTGACTGCATGATCTTTATGTTAGTATCACATTATTAACAGTATTAAAGCTACAATAAATTGGACAAGATATTTTTAAATGCAGTAATGAAAACTGAGACATTCAAAGTACACTGGGAAATGTTCCATATTTGGAAAGAGAATTTTTGTCAGTGAGATATTTAGCAGAAAAAGGACTTCTGATTACATTTAAAGGAGATGAATATACTATTCAGAATGAGTCAGAAGCATATGAAAATAAACATTTGTATTGATGATATACAATAAAAGAAAATGAAGACTTCTCTACAAGTAACAAGGGAGTGAAATCATTCATGTTTGTTCATACTTGGCATCACTGAGGAACAGGCACTCAGAATAGTGAAATAACAGACACAAGAGTTAATGAAGAGTCTGTTTGAACTGGAGTGGGTTATAAATTTTGTAAAAATAAATAAATAAAATCTCAAGATGATCACATGCTTGGAAATGATGAGATGTGAATGTTGTAACTTAGCCAAGGCAAGATACACACATCATTGTCTAAATAAGAAATATCTTGATCTTAAACATACTGATACATATGCACTATGAGAGTACGAACATTTCCAGGTTTAAAAAACAAACAAACACAGGATTTTTATTGATCATTCCAAATTACATGTTTATATTTTATACTGCTATAATCTATGCCAATTCCCACTGGTTTCCATAAATAACAACATAAAACATGTACTAAAATGAGGAAATAAAAATCAAAAGGCAATAATTATGATGTAATAATGCACTAAGTGATATTTCTCAATCTCAAATATGCTCCAGAACAATCCAGTTTTCACCAGTTTTTGGAAAGCCAAGAATGAGGATGCTAACCTGACATCAAGAGGGAAGCTGTTCCAAAGTGTAGGGCCACAACTGAAAAGCACTATGTATGACCCCCACCCCGCCTTTCACCTCGGGAACCTGGAGACTTTTGCCAGGGTACAGATACCAGGCAGATCAGATGGGTTACTTCTATGTGGAGAAGGTAGCCCTGCAAGTTCCTAGGCATAAAGCCATATAGAGCTTCATAAGTTAAAACCAGGACTCTAAACTGCTCCTGGAAACCTACTCGTATAGCCACGGTAATACTGTATTGGTGTTATATTTAGAACAGATAATGATGGTGGATTTAGAGAAAGAAGAACTGAGAACATTTAAAAATCACATGGAATACCAGAATGGTACATACCCTCAAGGGTAAAATGGAGTAGCTGAAAGAAAGTACTGTTACAAATATTAATTCTGGCTCACCTAAAAAAGCCCTACATTTAGGCAAGAATGACCGTCATACACACAAAAAGCCAGTTCAAATCCTTCTCAGCTCTTGTGAGTTCTTGGTTCAAACCACACAACTCAATGACAATACAATGAATGCAGATCAACTTTTCCAGAGAGTTTTTTCACTGTGCCATAGTTTCCCACTTGAACACTTCTCAACCCAGTAAACAGTTCATCCTCACTTATCATTTAGAACTTTTTACCTCTTTCTGGTCTGTGCTTAGAGGAAAACTGCTTTCATACACTGTTTCAATCCTAATTCCTAATATTTTGTTTGGATTTATCCCTTTGGGGTTTGAAAGAACATCAGAATGCGTACGGGGCAAACAGCAGGGATAGGAATAATAATACATGCAATACAGTCAATAAAATGTATCTTTATTTTGGATTCAGATTTGTTGGCTGGTACGAGTCATTTTGAGATGGATCTGGTAATAATGAGGAATCAAGACCTATAGTCTTGCAGATAGTTCTGAACTTCAATTCCCAAGAGCTGAAGTAGCAAAACAATGGTGAGAGATGCTTCGTGCTAAGCAAGTGTAAACCATTTGGTTTTGAACCACTTCAAGCAGTCTTTCAAGCTTTAACCAGGGTGTTTTAAGCTTGCACAACTGCTTCAAGACACTTCTAAAATACTCAAAACAATCTGTTTCACACTCAAATCATCAATTTAGCATTTGAAATAGGGACTTTTGCAGAGTTTTATGAAGTTTCATGCTTGAAATGGTTCAAAAGGAAACATTTTGCACATCCCACTGGGTATTACAGATTAGCAACATC